TCTTCATAAATAAAATCTTGTAAAAATGTATTATTTACATCCATTTGAAATATAGTCCATCCTTTTGATGCTGCAATGTTGATGACTATCCTCACAGTGACCATTTTGGCCACAGGCGAGAATGTCTCATAATAGTTGAAGCCTTCCTGTTGAGTGTAACCCTTTGCCACTAGTCTAGCTTTATATCTCTTTATCTCCCCATTTGCTTTATATTTTATCTTAAACATCCATTTAGATCCTATTGCTTTTTTTTTTGCCAACAGGCAAGTCAATCACCTCCCAAATAGCATTGTCTTAAAGTGATTTAATCTCTTGTGACATTGCTTCTTTGAGGGATTTTGGTTCAATTTTAGCTGAAAGCATGCCCAAATAGGCTTGGTAGTTGTCTGACAAATGAGTGTAGGAAACATGATTTGAAATGCACTGTGGTTTGTTCAGTGATTTGGATGTTGTAATATAGTCCTTTATCTAAATAGAGGGTCTTGAAACTCTGCTGGACTTCCTGATATGCAATTCATCTTCAAGGGCCTCTTCCACAAGTGATTGATCTGTGTCTACCTGTGTCTCAACTGGTGTTGCAGACTGTTTAGTGGTGTCTACACCATTGAAATCGGCTATTGGTGTCACAACCTGTCCAGATGCTGGATGTTCAAACTCAACTTCTATTGGAGTGGCTCCCATGTCTGATGCTCCCACTGCCTCATTAGGAGCCTATTCTTTAGCATGAGGAAAATGAACTATCTGTTCCGGTAGGTGCTCATCTATGATACCTAGAGGTGCCTCACTTGGAAAGAAATCTTCTGTGACCTGCATGCCTTCTTTGAAAAGAAATACATGTTCTCTGAATGATATATCTCTGCTAACAAATACTCTTCTACTCTCCAAATCATATAACCTACACCCCTTCTGTGTTTCTGAGTAACCAATAAGAATATATTTCTTGCCCTGGGTGCAAACTTATCACCTCCAAGCAGGTTGCTTGCTAAACAAAGACATCCAAATACCCTTAAGTGATCTATTTTTGCTACTTTACCATGCAACATTTCATATGGACACTTGCCTTGCAATACTCCTATAGGCAGTTTGTTTATCAAATAGGCAGCTGTTCTAATACAGTCACCTAAAATCTTATTAGCATTGAGGTTTGAAACTTCAGTGCCCTTGCCATCTACAGGATATACCTATGTTTTCTTTCAACTGTTCCATTCTGTTGTGGGTTATATGAGCAACTACTCTGATGTATAATTCCCAGAGATATTAATAAATCATTACACTGAGAGTTTAAAAACTCAGTACCATTGTCTGATCTTAACACTTTCACAGTGACACCAAATTGATTTTGTATCATTACAATATTTTTTTTATTTCAACCAATACTTCACACTTTGATTGAATCAGACACACCTAAGTATACCTACTATAGTGATCTATAATGGTAACAAAATAGTGCTTCATATCATGTATAGGCACTCTATGAGGTCCCCAAATATCTAAGTGAATAAGCTGATAGCTACTAGTAAAAATAGTACTACTGAGAGAAAACTTTGACCTACATTGTCTAGCTAATGGTCACACTTGGCAATTCTCATGCACCTGCATATCCATCTTATTCTACAATTCTGGAATGTGTTGCATTGACTTTAGTGAAGCATGTCCTAGCCTCAAGTGCCAAAGTTCAATTTATGCACCTTTTTCAAGAAAACTCATGCTGCTACTACTGTTATGTTTTCCTTCAGCAAGTATAATCCATTATTTTCTCTACCAATCCCCATCACCCTGCCACTGTAAAGATCCTGAAATATACATAAATTAGGAAAGAATGTGACTGAGCAACAAAGATCCCTTGTGAATTTTAATACTGAGAGTAGGTTGAATTTAAAATCTGGCACATATAAGACATTTGTTACTATCTTATTTCCTAATATGGATGCCTCTCCTATGTGAGTTATTTGTGATTTATTTCCTGTAGGCAGCTATACTCTATGTGTCCCTTGATAACCTGCCTTCTTTATATTGTTTAGGATGTCCTTACAATATATAACATGGTATGTTGGTACCGCTCTTCTGTGAAGAACTGTCGTGGTTGGTTTTGACAGCAGTTTGACTAACTATTGGTACTGCTTTTCTATGAAGAACTACCCAGCTCCTTGCACATGCATTGTTCCTGGTTTCCCTTCCTCACTATTTGCATTCACACTATTAGCATAGGCCTTTCCTCGTCCAGGCTGGCTCTTCCTTTTACTTTTGAAGTCAGCTGGATAACCAATTATTTTGAAGCAATTCTTCTTAAGGTGCCCTTTATATCCACAATGCTCACAAATAAGGCCTAGCCTTTTAGCTCTAAAGTCCTGACCTCTTCCTGCTAGCATAGTAAGTGGTTCCCTATGTGTATCAACAACACCTAAAGATATTTGACTTTATTCCTGAGTAACTATTGCATATGCCTCATTAATAGTCACAACAAGTATCTTAGCCAACACATTACTCCTTATGTTGCTATAATTTTCATTTAGTCCCATAAGGAATTGCACCAAACGTTGACATTTCAGATGTTCAACTGAGGGTCTAGATTCTTCACAGTCACATGAAGATAGTAGTGCTAATATATCAAGTTCATCCCACAAGTCCTCCATTTTAGAAAAATAGCTAGTGACAGAGTAAGTACCTTGCCTTAAAGTTGCTATGGCTGTCCAAAGGTGATAGATACTCGTTAAATTCGATCGATTAAGCCTCGCCTGGAAGTCATTCTAAACTTTCCTCGCATTTGAGGCGTAGACAATACTCGACATCAATTCACTCGATATAGTGCTCCCAATTTATGACAAGACGATCCCATTGCATTTTTCTCATTGCTCTACCAATTCACCTCAATGCATAATTTTTACACAAGTTCCGTCCACAAACCCTAGCTTACTCTTTCCCCGAAGCGCCAATTTCATCGTTATGCTCCACCGTGCGTAATTCTCTAGCCCTGTGAGTTTGATCGGTGTTAAGACGAGTCCTGGAGCATCTGAGGGTTGTAGAAATAGTGGATGATTTTGATATAGTGGGGCGACCTCGTTTCCTGCAATGACTGACCAAATCTCAGTTTCGTCGAAGCTCCAATTTTCTGAATTTTGCTTGAAACTCAATGAATTCACGATCGCTGCTCTGATATCATGATAACATCAGCTGAATTCACTGACTAATCTAACATGCAATTGATCAGGAGAAAGGAATTAAGGGAGAAGAAATGGAGAGAAGTGAGGAGGTGAAGAAGATGAGTATGGTAATTCTCATTAACGGAAAAATGAGACACACGTGAGTGGATCCTTTTATACACCCGACTCAACCACTTCTAACTAACTAACACTTAACCACTTAACTTTATAATATTGAAATATGAGTCCCTCAACTTATCATGAGTGCCAACTAGTCTATTACAACAATATACACATTTTTGTTGCCTTTAATTTGGTGCCAAATAAATAAAATGTCCAATCTTTATTTCATTTGAAAGTTCAAATTTTGACCCGCCTGTAGTTGAAGACCATTCATCTAACAAGAATATCTTTGCACATCATGAGCCCCCTTTTAGAATTATTCACAACAACTGCAGTCAATTAACGCATTGCCTAGAGTATTCTGGTGCATTGATTGTGGTCGTGTTGAACCAGATTGGATATTTTTAAATATTGGTGTTCTTGTTTGTATATTGAATGTTCAGGAGTTCACCATAATCTTGGTGTGCATATATGTATCAAAGGTAAATATTTAGATTTTTGCTAATTATATTTAGTCACTGTCTCTTCCTGGGATCTGAAGGTCATTTCTTTTCTGTGCATATTTATTTGTTTCTAGTTTGAAAAGTTAAAAGTTGGAATGAACATAAAAGTGGCTTCTTGCAATTGCATGGATTTTATATTGTATTTAAAATACTAAAGGTTTGTTGGGTTTTATTATTAAATCAAAAGAGATGTGAATGGAAAATGGTGGGAAACGAAATGGAGGGAAATAAAATTCTGAATTAGTTCCTTTTTCAAAAGAACTTTGTCCATCATTGGATAGGAAGAAGAAAATTCTTGTGATTATATATGAAAGCACTTTTTCTATCTCTTAAAGAGTTGATAAGGAAGCAAGCCTCTCACCATCGTCGCTCGCTCAGCTCTGGCTCTGGATCCAGATCAAATTTATTTAAAGTTTTCTTTTCTAATATGTAATGTGCGAAAAATTTAATTTGAAAATTTGCGGCATTATTTTTCCAACGGTCAAATTCGCGACCAAACATTTTATTTAACAAAAATTTAAATAATTTCTACCGAAAAGACATCTTATCAAACGAACAAACACCTTTGCACTTGTTGGCTATAAATAGAGAGGCTTAGCCTCATTTTTCACCACCGAATCTGAAAAACGCTCCCCTCTTTCTTCTGCATTGATTTTCAAAACAAAATGTAAGCATTTTGTGTGATTTGCTCTGCCATATGAGTTCGCCGAAGTTCTGGGATTTGAAGTGCGTCTATCACAAAATAGTTATTCCATTCTATCCTGGGAGAAATTAATCTGAAATCTTGAAAAACTGTAAGGGGATTAAATTTTTTAAGGACACATAAGAAACTCGTGGGCTAAAATATTTTCTATTTTTCTTTTTTAAACTAACATCTTCTGATTTTTCTGGTTTTGAATACAGAATACTAACAAGCTTAAGGAATTTAAGATATTTCTATGTTCATCTTACTTTCTGGTTTGTGAGACTAAAATCCTAGCGATTTTCTACTCCCTTTTGGGAGATTAAAATCTTCGAATTTTCTACTCCAGTTTGAGATTAAAGTCTTTATGACTTTCTACTCAATATGAGATTAAAATCTTTGTGATTTTTTACTTGGTTGTTTGTATTCAGTTTGAAGATATAAAAACTTTACCGAGATACTAATTCTATTTGTGTTAATTTCTTTTACAAAAAAATGATATCAAGTACGGAACAATAAAATGTTTATGTTGGGACTACTACTACTACTGCAATGGCTACTGCATCTTCAAGTCGCACAATGTATGCACCAGCGATGACACCGACAGAAAAGGCCGGAAATTTTTTTGGCGTGGACTTCAAGCGCTGGCAGCAGAAAATATTCTTTTACCTGACCACATTCAGTTTTCAGCGCTTTATCAGCGAGGACGTTCCAGTCTTGGGAGAAAAAAATCCGGATAATGAGCGGTTTGTGGTCACAGAGGCATAAAAACATTCTGAGTTCTTGTACAAAAATTATATCTTGAATTGTTTGGAAGATGGATTATATAACGTTTATAGCGTCATGGAAACTTCGAAAGAGTTGTGGAATGCTCTTGAAAAGAAGTACAATACAGAAGATACTGGACCTAAAAAGTTTTTCGCCGCAAAGTTCTTGGACTTTAAAATGGTTTTCAATAAGTCTGTCATAACTCAGGTCCAAGAAATGCAAGTCATCGTTCATGACCTCCTTGCCGAAGGTATAAATCGTATCAATATTTTTATTAAAGATATTAATTATAAATTTATGATTGTAGGTATGATCATAAATGAAGCATTTAAAGTTGCGGAATTTATTGAAAAGTTACCTCCAATGTGGAAGGACTTTAAAAACTACTTGAAACATAAGCGCAAAAAGATGACGTTAGAAGACCTTATTATTCGCCTAAGGATTGGAGGGGAAAACAAGGCTACAGAAAAGAAGTCTTGTGGAAACTCAACAATAATGGGAGCAAATATTGTAGAGGAAGCTTCAACGAACAAAAAGAGAAAGAAGCCGTCTGGACCAAAGAATTACCCAAGCAAAAAGAAGTTCAAAGGTAATTGCCATAATTATGGAAAGGTTGGGCATACGGCTGCTAATTGCCGTGCACTAAAGAAGGACAAAAAGAAAAGCCAAGCAAACATGATTGAGAAGAATGAAGAAATAGACGATTTGTGTGCCATGGTTTCTGAATGCAACCTAGTGAGAAATCCTATAGAATGGTGGATTGATTCTGGGGTAACTCGTCATGTTTATGCTAACAAGGAGTTGTTTACTTCTTATGCTCTCGCTGGACCCGACGAGACAAGTTTTATGGCAAATTCCGCTACTACAAAAATTGAAAGAAGGGGCAAGTAGCTTTGAAGATGACTTCTGGAAAGATTGTGACTCTAAACAATGTCCTTCATGTTCCTGAAATGCGGAAGAATTTAGTCTCGACATCACTTCTAGTCAAGAACGGATTTAAGTGTATTTTTGTTTCCGACAAGGTTGTAATTAGTAAGAATGAAATGTATGTAGGAAAATGTTATCTTATTGAGGGCCTTTTCAAACTCAATGTAATTGCCATTGATATGAATAAAATTTCATCTTCTTCTTACTTGCTTGAGTCAGATAGTTTATGGCATGAACATTTAGATCACGTCAACTTCAAAACTTTGCGAAAAATGATTAATTTGGAAGTATTGCCTATGTTTAAATGCAATAATTCGAAATGTCAAATATGTGTGGAATCAAAGTATGTTAAATATCCTTATAAGTTAGTTGAAAGGAATTCAAATCCTTTAGACTTAATTAACACAGATATTTGCGATATAAAGTCAATATCATCTCGCGATGGAAAAAAGTATTTCATAACTTTTATTGACGACAATACTAGATATTGCTATATTTACTTACCTAATAGTAAAGATGAAATAATTGATGCATTCAAGCAATACAAAAAAAAGTTGAAACGCAATTAAATAAAAAGATCAAAATGATAAGAAGTGATAGGGGTGGAGAATATTAAACTCCTTTTGATGAAATATGTGTGTAATATGGCATTATTCACCAAATAATTGCCCCTACTCACTACAATCTAATGAAATTGCGGAACGAAAGAATAGAACGTTAAAGGAGATGATGAATGCCTTGTTAATAAGTTCTGGTTTACCTCAGAACTTGTAGGGGAGAAGCTATTCTTACAGCTAACCAAATACTCCATCGAGTTTCCAATAGCAAAACGCAATCCATTCCATATGAAAAATAGAAAGGAAGGAAACCTAACTTAAAATATTTGAAGTATGGGGACGTTTGGCTAAAGTGCAAATTCCTAAACCCAAAAGGGTAAATATTGGATCAAAAATCGTTGATTGAGTTTTCATAGGATATGTAACAATAGTAAGACATATCATTTTCGGGTTCATAAATCAGAAAATCCCGATATTCATGTTAATACGGTAATCGAATAAGATAATATTGAACTCTTTAAGAATATTTATCCGTATAAAAAGGAATGTGAGTCGTCTAATAAAAAATCTAACCGACCTCGGGAAGAAGCAAAGGAAAGTACCTTTAATGAGTAAAATCCAAGACGTAGTAAACATCAAAGGTCAAATACTTCTTTTGGACCAGATTTTCTGACATTTTTGTTGGAAAATGAGCCTCAAACGTTCAAAGAAGCATTGTCTTCCTCTGAAGCACAATATTGGAAAGAGAAAGTCAATAGTGAGATAAAATCCATATTAAGTAATTATACTTGAGAATTGGTTGATCTTCCATCAGGAAATAAACCTTTGGGTTCTAAGTGGATTTTCAAAAGGAAAATGAAAGCTGATGGTACTATTGACAAATATAAGGCAAAATTAGTTGTTAAAGGATTTAGACAATAAGAAGGTCTTGATTACTTTGACACATACTCGCCGGTAACAAATATTACATCTATTTGGGTGTTAATAGCGTTAGCCGCCATGTATGGCCTTGAAATCCATCACATGAATGTGAAGACAACTTTTTTAAATGAAGATTTGGGAACAACCTGAAGGGTTCTTGGTTCCCGAAAAAGAAAAAAAGGTGCGCAGACTTGTTAAAAAAAAAACCAAAATAATGGCATGCAAAATTTGATAAAACAATGTTGTCAAATAATTTCAAGATCTATGAGGGTGACAAATGTGTTTACATTTAGAATACTCCGAATCAAGTATTCATTGTTTGTTTATACGTGGATGATATGTTGATAATGAGTAACAACATTGCTACTATAAATGCTACTAAGCGCATGCTTACTAGTAAGTTTGATACGAAAGACTTAGAAGTTGCCGACTTATTTTTGGAAATTAAGATCCTTAAGATTACTCAAGGTCTATACTTGTCTCAATCTCATTATAATAAAACGGTACTTGAAAAGTTCAAATATTTGGACTTTAAAGTTGCAAGAACACCTATTGATTTAAACCATACTCTTGTAAAGAATAAAGGACAAAGCAAGTCTCAATTGGAATATGCTCGAGTGTTGAGAAGTTTGATATACATAATGAATTGTACACAGACCGATATAGCTTGTGCGATAAGTAATCTTAGTCTATATACAAGTAATCCCGACCGAGCTCATTGGATAGCAATAAAATGAGTTTGGGGTATTTGAAAATACCCAAGACTATGCACTGCATTACAATAATTATCACGTGGTTATTGAGGGATATAGTGATGCAAATTGGATCACTGGATCAACATAATCAAAATCCACAAGCGGATATGTTTTTACCATCGGAAGAGGAGTAGTGCTTGGAAGTCGTCCAAACAGACATGCATCGCCCGCTCCATAACGGAGTCTGAGTTTATAGTTTTAGACAAGGCCGGTGAAGAAGCTGAATGGCTCCAGAATTTCTTGGAAGATATTCCATTTCCCTCAAACCTTTGGCACCTATATGCATACATTGCGACAGTCAAGCGGAAATAGGAAGGGCTAAGAGCGTTATGTATAACGGGAAGTCTTGTCACATAAGACGAAGATATAATATAGTTAGACAACTACTCTCTAGTGAAATTATCACAATTGACTATGTAAAGTCAAAAGATAATGTATCGGATCCGCCTACAAAAGGCCTAACTAGAGAGGCGGTTGAGAAGTCATCAAAGGGAATGGGACTATGGCCGAGGACAAGTCACGGTGGCGGTAACTCTACCTAGAAAATTGGAGATCACAAGATCTAAGTTCAAGGAGATCAAACAAAGTCATTAGTGGCGGTTCAACATTGTCAAATAAAATTTTGCTCCATTCTCATGATGAAGACAGTGTTCAGTAACAAGGATAAAATATTAAAACTTTTTAATGGTTTATAAGTTTGATACGGGGTATGTCAAATAGTGCATCTACGGGATAACATGTTTAGGAATCACCTATGTAAGTGTGAAGTATAAGCCGCTATAAGGAGAATTTTGTAAGGCTAGTTATCTACGCACTTATGAAACTAGGTGGTGTTCATGGCTAAAATGAATACAACAATTAGAACTAAAGACGGTTAAGGGTTGATTATGTGATATAAGGCTGTCTAGGTATACACCAAAGTTCGACAGTTCAAAGATATTAAATCTACCAATTGATCGAGTATATCCGACATATGTTCACTACGGAAAGTACAAAGAGAAACATACTTATCCAGATGCGATTAATCCTTACTTGCGAATCACACAGGTTTTCATGCATATTTTTGCAGATAGCTATTCCCCATTCATGTGGGGGATTGTTGGATTTTATTATTAAATCAAAAAAGGTGTCAACGGAAAATGGTGGAAAAATAATAGAAGGAAATAAATTTTGAATTAGTTCCTTTTACAAAGGAACTTTGTCCCTCATTGGATAGGAAGAGGAAAATTATTGTACTTATATATATAAGCACTTTTTCTAGCTCTTAAAGAGTTGAGAAGGGAGAAAGCCTCGCACCGTCGTCATTGTCGCTCGCTTGGCTCAGATTCGGCTTCGGCTTGGGATTCAGATTCGAATTCGGATTCAGATTCGAATTTGGTCAGTTGATATGATTGATTAATAATTTTTTTGGACTAAATTTATTTTCCTTTACTGTCATTTAATGTCTTCTTTTCTAATATCAAACATTTTTTTTAATAGAAATTTAAATAAATTTAGTCGAAGAGTGTAACGATTTGACCGGTCGTTTTGAGCTTTAGCGTTCCATTCGGTGGTTTGAGACTTTGAGTATTTTCATATTATGTATTATGACTTGCTTGTATCGTTTCAGTTTTCAAGCAGTTCGGGATTGATTTGAAAGAATGATTCTCGTTTTACAAGCTTTAAGTTAGAAGAGTTGATCAATGTTTGACTTTTGGGTAAACGAACTCAGAATTGAGTTTTAATTATTCTAATAAGTTTGTATGATGATTTTGAACATGTCCACAAAGTTTGGCTAAATTCCGATGAATTTTGGATAAGTTTGGGTTGTATGGTGATTGTTTTCGGTTTCGACTTGGAAGAGTTGACCAAGGTTTGACTTTTAGATAAATGAACTCGGAATTAGTTTTTAATTATTCCAATAAGTTTGTATGATGATTTTGGACATGTCCAAAAATTTTGGCTAAATTTCGATAAGTTTTGGTTGTATAATGATTGTTTTTGATTTCGACATTGATTTGAGCATAAAAGGTTATCATATTGAACAAACGGCCTTTGATTCGTGTTTCGACTAAACTATTATATCCGTATCGTAATTTTAGAACCATAGCAATTGAAATCATCAAGTTTCGATATCATATGAGGAATTTATGGTCATTTTACTAAGAATTGGGTTGCTAGATTTTTCAGATTAATTAAGAAATTGTCACCGGATTCGTATTTAAAATATGCACTATTTCCAACTAGTGCAACTAGTGTTGGGTTGGGCGCTTGGGTTATGAATACCCAAGAAAGATGTTTCGGTGAATTGGTTGGGCTATCAAACTCCTATTGGGTCGGATTTTATTCGTGTGAGCTTGTATTGGTTCGGACTTCGCTCGGGTAAGCTTGGATTCGGAATCCAAGGTAGGCCCATCATTGACTTTTGTTAATGTTTTGGTTGACTTTGGAATTTTGATTAAAGATTCAACCTTTATCGATTGGGTTTATTTCATTTGGCATTATTTGATGTTCTTGAGTTGCTCTTAACTAATTTCGAGCCGTGCGAAGGTCGGTACGCGTGGCACTTCTAGAGTATTGTTTGGCTTGCTCGATATTGGATTCGGCTTTTTCGAGGTAAGTAACTTATCTAAACTTGGATTTGAGGGTATTTAACCCTGTGAACTGTGTTATAAGAGATGTATTGAGGTGACGCACATGCTAGATGATGAGCGTGTGGCGTACACCGAGGAAATCGTGATTTTAGTTGGCT